CATCTTTAATTTATAATTTTTATGAAGTCTATCAATGATTAGGAACAAACTTTATATTCTTTTTTGTATCGTTTTAGCATACTTTCAAGCAATTATTTTGTCTTATTGGTTTTAAATATTCACCTTCTTTGTATAACACTGTTTTAATATTTTTTACTTTTGTAACATTATACTTTCTCAAATAAAGTTTGGTTTCATGTCAGTTAAAATAATATAAAAATTTAAATTATATTTTCTTTTTATCAATTCAAATATTAATATAAAAATTTAAATTGGGTGTAGCATATTTAAACAATCATAAAAGAAGATAACTAATCGCAACATTAAAGTTTAGAGACAAAAGTGAGCATAAACTATTAAAGTAGAACTGAGAAATAAATTTTAGTAAGAAAATAAGTCAAAAATACTTAATCATGATATTTAATAACGTGCATTGCACGTGTATAAAACCTAATAAAAATAAATAAAAAAATAAATAAAAAAATAAAACAAGAAAAATAGTAAAAGGAAGAAAGACCGTACAAAAATCCCACACAACACGGGACCACACACGTTTCCTGTGGGCCCAACGATTTCGCGTGGACTCATCATCTTCTCTCTTTTGCCTCTAACTACCACCATTTTCTTCTCTCATTTTCTAAAGTTTTCTTCCGAATTTGTTTATTCACATTTTACCCCTCCCACGCGCTTCTTATTATATATCAACAATTCCCTCTCCCTCTTCAAACATAACCCATTCTCTCGTTCTCTCTCTTTCTCTCTCCCCTCTGCTCGCATTATCGGCTGTAAGTTTCTCTCTCCTCGCTTTCTCTCTCTAGATCTGATCACACGACTCGTTAGTTAATTCGTTTGATTCTTAGATCTTCAATTTTTTCGCGTGATGGCATCAGATCTCAACTTGATTAGATTAGATCTGGGTGCGGTTTCTTTGTATTGGGTAGTTATTTTAACTGAAACTTTTAGTTTGTTTGCGGTTTTGGTGGGCGTAGTTTTAAAAAACAGATAATGGGTTTTCGAAATTGAGATGATTACAGAATTAAAACGCCCGAGATTTGAGATTTTTATCAGAAGAAAAATGAACCTTTTGTACATTATCATTCTCTATTAGGTGTTTTGATTCTTATTACTAAGCAGTAATGGATTGGTTTTTCAAGGTGGAACCCAATCAATTTTATAGAGCAAATCCGAGGTACTTTTGCTTCGATTTTTATTTTATTTTATTTAATTGCTCGGATTGCATGTTGAAATGTAGTGAGTCGTGTGAGAAGAACCCAGCTCGGATTGTTTTTGATGTTTTTAGAGATCTAATGTTGTAGTAAAAGATTGGCACTTGGTTACTTGAGCATTTAATAATTCTCAATAATTCATATTGGATCCGATTATTTTATTGCATTTTCTCATCTTCATGCTCATCCAAGCTCATGCTCTGTCAAAATGAAGTCAAGCATCCGTGGAAAGGAGAGCACTTGGTGCTTTTCTGATGGAGCATTTGATTATTATCCACCTTAAACATATGAAAAGAACAGAGAACTATATATGACAACGATAGATAGAAAAATTTACGATCGGAAAATTTTTGGTTTGAGTAGGGTTTGTCTTTTATCCTAGGTTTTTTTTGCCGGTGTAGATGCCCAATGTATTGGTCATGCAGTTAAAGGTCTTTATAATTCTTCCTTTAATGAGAAAAGTGCATCCGATACGAAACCCTGTATAGATATGTTTAGGGAATTAGTTACTAGTTTGAATCACATCATTGAAACAAAGAGGAGGCATGAATAAGACATTTCTCTAAATGATTTAGACTTTTGCATTAACTTCAAATCCGATGTTTAATTTATCTTTCCTTTGGATGCTTGTAGTATCTGTTAGGTGCCATAGATGTTCTTACGATATATTCTGGTTGTTCATGTGAAATGCAAAATTTGAAGTTAGGGGAAATTATATTGAACATAACATGTTTTCGAACTTACTTCATTTACTGTGAACTAGAAATCTATGTTTTGTTGATCTTCTATTGAAATTTTGATGTGTCTGTTAGAGATCATAGACCCTCTTAAAATGCTTTTGATTTTCTAGTGTAAGATATAAATCTGTTACATGTTGCTCTTTCCTTGAAACTTTATTTAGATCCTCATCTTATCAAAACCTATTTTGATTTTTTATAGAGCTGATTCCGAAGAAGAAATCGATATGGCGAGCCATAATCCAAAAAACATTCTCATCACTGGTGCTGCTGGCTTCATTGCATCCCATGTTGCCAACCGTCTTGTTCGAAACTACCCCCAATATAAGATTGTTGTTCTTGACAAGCTCGATTACTGCTCAAACCTCAAAAACCTCCAGCCGTCACAGAGTTCCCCCAACTTCAAATTCGTTAAGGGTGATATCGCCAGTGCTGATCTTGTCAACTACCTCCTTATTACAGAATCAATTGACACTATAATGCACTTTGCCGCCCAAACCCATGTTGACAATTCCTTTGGAAATTCCTTCGAGTTCACCAAAAACAACATTTATGGAACCCATGTCCTCCTTGAAGCTTGCAAGGTCACTGGACAAATAAAAAGGTTCATTCATGTGAGCACTGATGAAGTTTATGGTGAAACCGATGAAGATGCTATCGTTGGAAACCATGAAGCATCTCAGCTTCTTCCCACAAACCCTTACTCTGCTACAAAAGCCGGAGCTGAGATGCTTGTGATGGCTTATGGTAGATCCTATGGTCTACCTGTTATCACTACTCGCGGAAACAATGTCTATGGGCCAAATCAATTTCCTGAGAAACTCATTCCAAAATTCATTCTTTTGGCGATGAGAGGAAAGCCACTTCCAATTCACGGTGATGGATCCAATGTCAGGAGCTATCTCTACTGCGAAGATGTTGCAGAGGCTTTTGAGGTTATTCTTCACAAAGGAGAAGTTGGGCATGTATACAACATTGGTACGAAGAAAGAAAGGCGGGTGATTGACGTCGCAAAGGATGTGTGCAAGATTTTCTCTATTGATTCTGACTCTGTTATCAAGTTTGTTGAGAACAGGCCCTTCAATGATCAACGGTACTTTTTGGACGATCAGAAGCTGAAGAATTTGGGATGGAGCGAGCGAACAACGTGGGAGGAGGGACTAAAAAAGACTATGGAGTGGTACACTAGCAATCCTGATTGGTGGGGAGATGTCTCGGGTGCTCTTTTGCCTCATCCAAGAATGCTAATGATGCCTGGGATCGAGAAACAATTTGATGGGCCTGCGGATGTGCAGGGCATGCTCTCGGATTTAATGAACAAATCAAGTAAAACAGAAAATGGGCTTAAATCTACAAAGATGGAGAAGCCCTCTTTGAAGTTCTTGATCTATGGTAGGACTGGATGGATTGGGGGACTTCTTGGCAAAATTTGTGAGAAACAAGGGATAGCTTATGAATATGGAAAAGGCCGCCTTGAGGAGCGTTCTTCACTCGTGTCTGATATTCAAAATGTGAAGCCAACCCATGTGTTTAATGCTGCTGGTGTCACTGGTAGGCCTAATGTTGATTGGTGTGAGTCTCATAAACCGGAGACTATTCGAACAAATGTTGTGGGCACCTTAACCTTAGCAGATGTCTGCAGAGAGAAGGGTTTGCTTGTGATGAATTATGCAACGGGATGCATATTTGAGTATGATGCTAAGCACCCTGAGGGTTCTGGTATCGGTTTCAAGGAGGAAGATACACCAAACTTTGCAGGATCATTCTACTCGAAGACTAAAGCTATGGTAACTATATCCATCTTTCCTTTACGTGTTTCTATTTAGGGTTAATTGTACATAGACACCCTGTAGTATCGCTGTTTCACACTTACTACCCCTCCGGTTTTATTGTTGCAGATAGAACCCCGGGTTAAGCATTTTTTTTAAGTACTCTTCTATTATCCTCAGCTAGACTCACTAATTTGCCTAGGGGCATAATCTGCTAAACACCAAGGGTAAAAGAGTAAAACAAATTTAACATAGGGGGTATATCTGCAATTATAAAACTGCAGGGGTTAGAAAATGCTTATATTTAACCCTTCTCTTTGTAACGTGCTTATATTTACATGCATTCTTCCGATTGACCATGTAGGTTGAAGAGCTATTGAAGGAATACGAGAATGTATGCACACTTAGAGTCAGAATGCCGATATCTTCTGACCTATCAAACCCAAGAAACTTCATCACCAAGATCTCCCGTTACAACAAAGTGGTCAACATCCCAAACAGCATGACAATCTTGGATGAGCTTCTCCCGATATCAGTTGAGATGGCAAAGAGAAACTTGACAGGAATTTGGAACTTCACCAATCCCGGTGTTGTGAGCCATAACGAGATCTTGGAGATGTACAAGAAGTATATCGATCCAAGCTTCAAGTATTCGAACTTTACCCTCGAAGAGCAAGCCAAAGTTATTGTTGCTGCTAGAAGCAACAATGAGATGGATGCTTCAAAGTTGAAGAAGGAATTCCCAGAGCTATTAGGGATCAAGGAATCGCTGATCAAGTATGTGTTTGAGCCAAACAAGAAGGTCTGAGGTCTCAGTGTTTTAGGGTTTTAGCAGACGCTGATATATGGGCTGAGTGTTGGTTCTATCATTACTGTGTTTGGATTTAGGAGGAATGCTTTTAGGTGGGGCCTGCAGGAAGTTGTATTGTTTTGGGTTGTTTAGTTATTTTAGTTCTACTTTTGATTGGTTATGCTTTCTTTTAAGAAGGTTGTAGTGTTGTCTTTAAAACATTGAGATTTGGATCCAGTTTTGCTGGATGTAATCTATTGATATATTATAAATGCATTTAGTTTATAATGACAGGGTAATGCATGTGTTTTTGTATGTGTTAATGAATGCAGAAGGTAATTACTATGGATTTTAGTTGTATTTGTTTTAGTTATTTAGTTTAAGAATACGATGTGATTTTGTATGTGCTCGTGGATGCACAAGGGAGGGTAACTATTATGGATTCTTTTTTATTTTGGATAGATAATTATTATGGATTCTAGTTGGTCTATTGGTAGAGAAATTCTGATTTATTGAAAAAGTAGCAAAATACGGGAAATGTACATGAGACCATTTTCCTGGCAAAAGGAAAAGCTAGCATCTGGATAGCTTCGGAGTTACCTATCTTGTGACTTTTAAGAGGAAAAATTGAAGTAATTGTATCAATAATTTTTCCCCTTTCATTCATTATGGAATTATATTTGCACGTAACTTTAACATCGTCCAAGACCTATGACTAACTAGTACAAGAAGTGAAAATTTATGAAAAGTCTTCTCCTTGAATTGTGTGTTAACTGCGGTAGAGGAGGAAGGGACCATTAGTGAAAACGAAATAGAGGGAGGAAAAAGCTTATACAAAGATACAAAATTATATATGAAAGAGGTTTATTATAAAAGAAACACAAAATTGTACATGACCCTCGCCTGTAGAGCCCGCGGGTCTGGAGGAGATCGAGGAGCTCGCCTGTTGAAAGGGTGTGAAGAGCTCACCTGAAGCATTCATGGACCTCGCCTGCTCGAGACCTCGCCTGTTCGAGAGCGGACGGAGCTCGCATGTGAACGCAGCTCGCCTGCGTGGGTGGAAGGCAGTTGGACCACATATCTGCCCTAGGGTTTCCTTATAAAAGGGAAACCCTGTTCACCAGATCTCCTTTGAGCAGCTCAGAAGCGATTTTAACAGAGGCGGTTTTCACCTCT